AAAGAAAATTAGGAAAAGTGATTTAGAGGGTCACTTGACGGAAGACAAATGTGGGTCGGAATGCACCTTATGTAGCTCTTAAATCTTTCTTGCTTTGTACAGGGTGTTTCAAAAGTTCGTTCCGATTTTTTCTTTCCTTAAATTTCATTGATTATGAAAAATACAAGTATGTTAAAACTCAAGTATGTTATTTATTATTCATTTAACATTGAATATCATGAAACCTGTGATCTCCAACAAATCTACTTTATCGGCTCCGAAGTTTTGTTTGTTTGGCCTCCTGAATTGTCGATCAGTCCGCAATAAGTATCTCTCTATCAAGGACTATGTTGTGGACAAGGATTTTGATATTTTTGCTATTACCGAAACCTGGCTCAACACTGGGGATTATGATAATTTCATAATCGGAAGTCTTATCCCAAATGGCTATCGCTTTTTACACTCTGCTCGTGATGGAAGAGGTGGTGGCGTCGGATTGCTTTTCAAAAGTTCGTTGCCAGTTAAGCAGACATCAAAGGTCTATCTGGACACCTTCGTTTCCTTTGAGGCCATCGAAAGTGAAGTTAAGGCTTTTTTTGCAATCTGTTTCCATCCTTATTGTCTATCGTCCTCCACCGTCATCTGGAAACAATCTTTCTACTGAGCTTTTTATGAATGAATTTTCGTCGCTTTTAGAATCCTGTATCACTAAAACTGGTTCACTTGTAATCGCTGGTGATTTTAATTTTCATATTGATGATACAACTGATACTGCGGCGGCTAATTTCCTGAGCTTATTGGAGTCATTTGATTTACAACAACATGTTCGTAGTTGCACCCTCAGAGCTGGACATACTTTGGATCTGGTCATCACTCGTGATGCTGAATATATTTTAAATGCTATTTTAGTTGATGATTCCTCAGAGATATTGGATCATTACACTGTTTGTGCTGATCTTCGTTTTGTTAAGCCTAATTGGGAAAGGAAGCGTATTTGTGGCCGTAAATTAAAAGCAATCAACTTGGAGCATTTTCGACAAGATGTTGCAATGTCTCCTCTTTTGTCTGAATCATCCAATGATTTACTTACGCTGCTTCACTTGTACAATTCGGAGTTATCTAGTGTTTTGGATAAGCATGCGCCATTAAAATCGCGCATGGTTACGATACGTCCCGCTGCTCCATGGTTTAGTGAGGAGATTAAACTGGAGAGAAGAGTTCGTCGCCGACTGGAAAGGAGATGGCGTAGGACTAGATTGCCCGAAGATCGTCTGCGTTTTATGGAACAAAATCGTATTGTCAATGAGCTATTACTCTCTGTCCGCTCACAATATTACACCAAGCTTATTGATGATAATTGCCTTAATCAGAGGAAACTGTTTGGCATTGTCGGTAAGTTGTTACATCGGAGTCCTTCACCGCAGTATCCATCTTTCTCTTATGTGGCGGATCTTGCAAATAGATTCATTGGCTTTTTTGGTGAGAAGATTATTACTATTCGACATGAACTGGAATCGAACCCTATGCAGGGAACTTATTTATTTAATGAAGTCACAGTAGCAACAACTATACTCCATCGTTTGAGCTGTCCTTCATATTCGACCTTACTTCAGATTGTGCACCCTTTGGCATCAAAGTCTTGTGAACTTGACCCTGTCCCCGCTAGAATAGTCCTTGGTTGTCTTGATCTCCTTTGCCCTGTGATCTGGAAAATTGTTAAGCTGTCTTTGGAAACCTCTGTCATGCCCACTGAACTTAAACAAGCTGTAATTCGTCTTTTTTTGAAAAAGCCGAGTGTTGATTACCAAGAATTTAAGAACTTTCGGCCGATCTCTAACCTCACCTTCTTGTCCAAAGTCATTGAGAAAGTAGTGGCTTTGCAGCTTATTGACTACATTGACAACAATGATCTGTGTGAAGTCTTTCAATCTGCCTACCGTGCTCACCATAGCACCGAAACGGCTCTTCTCAGAGTCTACAATGACATTGCTATGTCCATTGACAATCAAAAATCTGTTGTTTTGGCTCTACTGGACCTGTCTGTTGCTTTTGATACAGTTGATCATTCTCTTCTCCTTGCTAGACTATCTACCCGTTTTGGCATTTGTGACCAGGCACTGGACTGGTTTCGTTCATATCTATCTGATTGCACTCGGTATGTCAGAATCCAAGATGTCTCTTCTGGATGTGCATGCCTTACCTTATGGAGGACCTCAGGGTTCCGTGTTGGGCCCCTTGCTGTATTCTTTGTACACTTCCCCTTAGGTGATTTTGCAAGATCTCATGGTCTATCTTATCACTTTTATGCTGATGATACACAACTATATTTATCTTTTGAAACGCCATCGCCTGAGGATTTGTCAACATGTGCATCTGCTCTTGAAGATTGTGTTAAAGATATTGACCTTTGGATGTTAAATAACAAGCTGAAGCTGAACAGTGGGAAGACTGAAATTATAGTTTTTTCATCCTCCTATCACCCACGTCCTGCGTTAAAAAACCTGGTGATTGCCTCTGACACTGTTGACTGTTCAACTACTGCTAAAAATATTGGGATCATTTTTAATAACTCTCTATCGATGTTGCCGCACGTTACTGCTGTTTGCAAGTCTTCGTTTTTTCATCTACGCAATATTTTTAAGATTCGCAAGTTTCTTTCTTATGACACATGTAAAACTCTAATTCACGCCTTTGTTACTGCAAGGATCGACTATTGTAACTCATTACTCTACGGTCAGCCTAAACGTATCTTGAAACGTTTACAGAATGTCTTTAATAGTGCTGCTAGGCTTATTCACCTTACTAGTAGATATGAGCATGTTAAGCCGTTGCTTATTCAACTTCATTGGCTACCAATTGAACAAAGGATAACTTTCAAAATTGAAGTACATACATACATTTTATTTTATTTTATTTTATTACATACATACATTTTATTTTATTGTGTTTTGAAGTAAGAGTACAATAACATGCCCGCGGGTAGCTAAGCTAATCTAGGCGGGTCATGTTTACAGAAAATAAACTAAATACAGCTAAAAGTAACAAGAGAACTAAAGAAACTAAAATTGACAACAATGACTAGAGACTACTGATAAACTAATGGTATTACTTATAATAAATGACAACAGTTATGACAAGAGACTACTGATAAACTAAACGATATTAATGATTACATATCAACTAAGCGGAAAATAAATTCAGCTTAACTTACATTTAATTACATTTAAGGCACTTCATGGTGCTGCACCTAGCTATATCACTGATCTCATCAAGCCTTATACACCTGGTAGACTTCTTAGATCCTCTAATCAATTTTTACTTTCTACATCTAAATTTAATCTTAAAACTTATGGTGGCCGATCTTTTACTATTGCTGCACCTTCTGTTTGGAATGCACTTCCATTCGAACTTAGATCTTGTAATTCCCTTTCTTCTTTTAAATCTAAGCTCAAGACTTGGCTTTTTAAAATTGGTTATGATGTTGTCGTATAGAATGATGATGTTTTTATAGGATGACAATGTAGTTTTGTAGTTTTGTAGGTTTAGGATTTTGTTGTTATTTTTATTATGTAAAGCGCTTTTGGACCATTGGGAATTAGCACTCTATAAATATTGTATATTATTATTATATTATATTAGTAACCAGAATGTTTTCCTTTATGTTTTCTGACATTTTCTAAGTGGTGAGGTATAGAATGTACGAGCTCCCAAAGTTTGTCCAAAGAAAAATGTTTCCAGGCGAAGCGTAGTCACTGTCTTTTTAGCTCGTCCAGTGTTTTCAGTTGGTGCTGGATCTTTTTATGTTGTCTCGTAAACGGTACTCCAGATGGTCTCTAGAGGGTTTAAATCACGTGAGTTTGCCAACCGTTCGCCCTTGGCTTTCAAGTTTGCAAATCTTTCTGACACCATGTCCGCATGTGCGCCGCCTTTTTTTCTTCAAGGCTTTTCAACCTTTGTTGGTCATATATCTTCATACTGTTGTGCTCGAAACTTTGATATTGTTGAAAGTTGAATTTTTTTTACCTTTCTGTCTTGTAGAATTTTTACGCACTCGGCATATACTTACAGCTTTTTCGATAACATTTGTCACATATTTGCAAAATAACGGCCATCATCTCCTTGGTTTGTCTTCTTAAGTCTTTACTTTTGACCACTTGTTCACTTATGTCGTTCAGACTTCTTTAACAGTTTACCAATTTCTTTGACTGAATAGCCAGAAGACCGTAAAAACAGATGCCTGAGCTCTGTAGCACAAACAGTGTAGGCCTTCATTTTCGTGAAGTAGTAGAGAAAATAAAGAAAGCGGCAAAAAAGAAAAAAGAAAAAGAAAATAGGGAACCTAAATGGGCAGGAAATATATGGCGGGAAAAACTCGCGTACGTGGACATTTGGGGCAAAACTTCAAAAATACTATAATTTCTTCAAATTTTAGGTTGAAATTGCTTTGAAAGGTTATTTAGATAAATTTCTTACCTGAATCAGTGTACATTTCCCTAAAGAAGCTTTAAATGCTTTACGCAAAATACAATATACAATCGCAACGAACTTTTGAAAAACCCTGTATATATGATTTTTTTTTTGGCGAGTCGAGGCAGGTGTGCTTATTCGACAAAACAGTCCGGAGCTACAACAAATAAGAGCTCATCTGTAAATCTCAGCCATATGTTCCTGGCAACTTCTCTTGGGTGTATACATGAAGTGGTTCAATTTTGTCTCGCCCTAGGCGTAGTTAGTCACATTATAATGAGCATCATTCATCGGTTCAGCTCTGTCAAGCCGTGCAAGTGCCGCGATGAGGTAAGCGAACAGTAATATTTCACCTTGTAGCAGTTTTTGGAAAAAAAGGTTCCACACCTTAGGACTTCATACACAGACACAAAATTAAGAAACATCTTGTACAGCTGAAAAAAAGAGTGCCACAGGAAAGTCCTGCAATGAAGCTCTCATTGACTGGGTTAAAATGCAATCGGGCTGTTTAAGTTCAGATAAATACAACTTTTCAAGTAACTGATGTTTTTATTGTAGTGCTTCTATTAGAGTGTGGTTAATTAGAAACGAATGTTTCTTAGAATCATTGAAACTGGCGTTTTTCAATACATTACTTGATTTTAACTTCATTCAAAAACATATATTGTTAGAATGTTAAGACCTAAAGAAGCATACGTTTCACTTAACACAAAAAGCCAGAAATATCTCAAAAATCTTTTGGACGTATCTTCATCTCGGTTTTCTTGACAGAGTAGCAGCTACCCTTCGGCCAATTGCGCCAGCGCATTCCTTGACAATCGTCCTTACCATTGAGGTACAGACCGTTGAGATTGGACCTGTGGCAATTTTTGTACCACCAGGCGCCTTTATAACTCAAGGCACAGCTGTAACTGGCTTTATCGTTATCACGATCCTTGGTAGAAAATGACATACCACGATGATAACCAAGGGCATCACTAGCGTTTCCTACAAAAAGGGGAAAAAAGAGAAATATGTGTCATATTTTTCGGGTACTTTTCGCAGAGTTTTTCAACCGGTCAACTTTCACTCCTGCATAAACAATCTCAGTCCACTTTAATTAATGCAAACGGGACGAAATAATTCTAGGATTGAAAAAAAAAATTGGAAAGGCCCCCGAGAGGTTTTAAAAGGAACATTAAAGGCAACATTTAGTAAAGCTTCGAAACCGGTAGAGATCTTGTACTTGCTAAATAATCAATGACATACCCTTAATTTCTGAACTCTCAAGACGTGGGCCAATCCTTTTAAAACTTTTTTTTATATGATTTAATATGACATTACAAACTTTAAGGTCAATTGTTGTTATAAAAATCAACTGATGACTTCCACATTCCAATCGCGATCAATTGGGCAAGAAAAAAAAACTTATTTTCTTTCTTTCTTTTGTCATTGTATTTGCCAATTAGCAACATTTTTCGCCAACTGATTCTTTTTCAGTCTTGCATAAACTTACCTGAATAACTTCCCAAATTCAGTTGGTATTTCGCTGTCTCGTTTGTCACAGAAAAGGAGCTGTACTCGGCAAATGCAGTTTTTCCATGAATGTCTTCCAAGTCAACACGGAGTTTATAACCACCGCTTACAGTCAGCCGATGTATCTTGTCCAAACCGATCCAGAACTCACCGTTCAGATTGCCAAAACCGCGTTTGTAATCATCCCAAGCGCGGAAGAAATCAACAGAGCCATCTCGCCTCTTCTGAAACACCGTCCAACCTCCACCGGCAGTTTTCTGATCACAGAACACTTCAAATTCGCCCAGACCACCAGGACAAATTTTATTCACTCCACTGATCTTGGCACCGGACTTGTAGACTTCAGCGCAGTTCTTGTAAACTGAAAAAATAAAATGATCATTCGATGCGGTAATAATTCTTCGCGATAAGTTGTTAATCCAAAATAACAGTTGGCAAACTCAAGAAAAAAAATGTAACACAAAAGCTGAATTGCAGGAGCCCATCAAATGGGCTTCTGCTGATCATGAGCTGTTAATGCATCTTTTAGAGGTCTTTAGACTCAGTTTCAAACATTTGAATTAGCCCTCCCTCTGTTTTGGATTGTGCTTGGATCTAATAAACGAACATCTACTTGACCCATAAAATTTGTTTTAAGAACTCATTGGTAAAATAAGAAAAGTATTTCCGGTGCATTTTTCGACGACAGGTTTTGAGGGCATTTTAGTGAGACATTGATGACAATGAGGATCCACTTTGCTCATTTGTAGTACTTAACAAATGGCTGAGAAAAAGTCAAGAAAACGGTTCTGGTTTAGTGATTTTTTCATATTGTAAAGACGGTGCATTTACAGCTTTTAAAAAGGATGCATAGCTATGAACTAGGTATGTGAAAGGGGTACCATTTTTCAATAGAGGGTATACGGAAGCTCATAAGAAAACAAAGTTACTTGAAGCTCAAAATTAAAATATTGATAGCAAACGTTTTTCAAAGCAAAATGTTTCACCAAACAATGTTTTTCGTTTCGAAACTTTACATATAACATCCAGGAGACGTATTTGTCCGACACAAGCGGTTATTTTGTCATCTACCAGGAATTCATTGAGCAATTTCAGCGCTACCATTTCCGCGCTTTGTAGTAACAATTGATGACACCTCAAGTCAAAATTACATCTAACGATAATAAAACGTTTACATAACGTTCTCCATCAAAACTCTAACGGACCTCTGAGGAAACATAGGCTTTCTTCAAAGGTTCAAAATGGTCGCGTCTGTTGGTTGTAATTAGTTGATTTCGATCCATGTTGCTGATTTCGTTTGGTAGTAACTAGACTATGATTGAAAACTAACTTTCTTGGAATGTACAGTGGAACCCCGTTAATACGGCCACCATTGGGCCAAAAAGAATTGGCCGTATTAACGAGGGTTTTGTTTGTTTTTTACAAGAAAATGTATGGCGGCTTTCGTCAGGCAGGCAAAAAAAGTGGCCCTATATAAGGTGGCCCTAAGGTGGCCGTAAGGCGGGGTTCCACTGTATTGTTATTTCCCTGTCATCCGATTGGTCAACTTTGTCTAGGTAGCCAGGGTTGTAGTAGTCGCACAGTAATAGTAAAACGATAAGCCCCCTCAACTGCTCCGTTTTAAGAAACAGCTGTACCATAAAAAGGATTGTATTTCAATTATCACATCACCGTTTACCTAATTTTTCACAGTTTTCTCCATGGTAGCAAGCCGGACAAACACAAACGTATTTCTTCTCAGTATATCCCATGTAGCACGTCCCGTTGTTAACGCAAGGTTTCCTGGCGCAACGATTCTGATTGAGAGAAAACACATTGTACATAAGACCCTCCGATCTTCGTTCTTGTAAGATCTACAACAAATAGTCGTTCACTTCTGACCCTCCACAAGTGCCTTGGCATATTTATTTTTTATTTTTTCTGATCTGTACCCAAGGTGCCGGAGACTTGGGGCGCTTTTCATTCAGCCCAAAATTCCGAAAATTTCGGTTAAAGCATCAAATGGAACGGACCATTTCGGTTTGGTCTGACCGGAATATTTAGGACCGGCTTTGAAGGTGGCCCACTTTGACCGGTCCGGTTATCTCGGTCGGTCGGACCGAAACGACCCTTTCCATTTGACAAAATTGTTGTCCCCAGTACCGACCTTTTTTATCCTGCTTACAAGAATAATAACCAAACGCGTGGTGGCTTGGGTCGGGTCTGTGCAACCGGAACGTACCGTTCCATTGGGCACGTGGAACTTCCGAAATTTCAAACCTGAATTTTTGTTGAATTGAAAGCGCGCTTGTTGTACAGGGTTTCCGGTTTCTCACTGCTTTCCTGCTCGTGGCGACCGACTACGAAGCGGACCATTTCAAGATAAATCCTCTGGTACCTAGGGTGTCCAATCTGTTGACACTTGAAATGAACTCTTTCTGTTCAAATTGCTGACTCATATGCCTACTAAATTCCGCAGAGTCAGTGGACCCCCGGGGCAAATCCCGTATGCAAGTAACGGGGATGCAGATTGGTCTCACTTAAGGTGGATTTCCACCTCTGCGTAATTAAATTTTACGTACCTAAATAAAAATAGGGACATTGTATACGGGGCGCACATAACTAACATAAACGTAAAAGTTGAATCTCCCTCAACTTTGACGTTTACGTTCGGCCTTTCATACATTGTTTCTATTTTATTTACCTGCGTGCGCATCCACAAATTACGCGACAGTGGAAATCCACGATCCCTAAGGTGTTCAGGACGGAAAACCAATTTTGTTTTGCCCTACCATAAGACGAATCGTGCGCTGACACACAGCCTTGAATATCAGATTTGATGACAACAATCACTAAATGTTCCTATAGATTGCCCAAACCCAAGCCCAAACTGCTGGGGACTAAATTATAATATTCCGACAAGTACCCCTGACTTATTGATAGTTTTAATGAAAGTCGTTCCCTTGGGAAGTTGTCCCAGTTCATGGATGAATTCATTTAAGGCACTTGTGAGACAACGTAAATATCGTCTAAAAATTGCTAAGCCAAGAGAACAAATAAAACTCCTGATGAAGATCCTGCAAAGGGCGCTAAGAAAGGATATGATGGGACCATAGACAATCCGTTGATTGGCAGAACGGTGACAATTTTGTAAGTTTAATTTGTCACCGTAAAATAGCAAGCGTAGAAAGAGGTTGGCCTGGAAAGACGTTTAAAAGGCCCCTGTTCATTCACATTTGATTATGCGTGGCTAGACGAGATACTGGATCCACAAAGATCTCCACTGCGGCTCCCCAGGACAGTAAGTAGCAGCCTCTTTAGGGCATCGAATGTGATTTTGGAAGCTTTTAAAATTGGTGAGGCACGTTTTGCAACCATACAGAAGAACGGAGAGACATGTTGATGCGGGGGGCGTAAGGGGGGTACGAATACTGCAAAACCACACAGAAATACGTATAAACACCGCACAGAATAACATAAGAAAACTGCAAACCGCATTAAAATTAGCCGAAAATTTCTGAATACCGCAAACCGCGTGGTTTTGTACAACCGCAATGCCGCAACTTAAAATAAAAATTCCCGCAAAACCGCACCAAAAATAGAGCAAAACCGCATCACCGCAAACCCTTAGTTTTTAACAGGCGTAGTTATATGTCCAAAGTTATGGATTGCACGCCGTGCTGACAGGGGGCCGAAACCGATCAGTACAAAACTGCTCTTACAGTTTTTATCCGTTTGAGCTGAAACGGTCTTTCAAAATCATCTATTTCTTTCGCGATCAGTTGAAAGTTAAATTTTGCTGTCAATCTTGTGACGTCATTTTCCCACCAAAAACTGAAATTCAAAATTTTATAACTATGGATACCTAAAGAATTTCAATTTCTACAATCATGCAAAGTTTCAGCTCAAACGGATAAAAATTGTAAGAGCAGTTTTGTACTGATCGATTTCGGCCTCCTGTCAGCCCGGCGTGTGTGAGTACCAGATCTTTTCGAGGCTCCAGAATGCAGACTATGCGAGAGTCATCCGACGTTTGAAGTCGTTGATGTTACTAGCTACCATCGATTCTAAACAGCGGAAGTCGGAGGACTATCTGACTGCACTCGTTCCCTGGACAGTTTAAGGTCATGTACTCTTTTTGCCGTTGTTGATAAGACGTTCCACACTGGTCGCTGATTCCACGGCTAGGGACAGCTGCATCTGAGCTCTTACGATCAGGGAAGATTCTAACAGTCGGATGTCGCTGGCAAAGTCTGTCATCTACGTACTTTGCTGGGTGCTTGATTGACCTTTTAGGGTCGGTCAATAAGCCTCTATTAGAATTGTTAACCGTGGCCTAGCGCATATTACATAGTCTTAGACGATAATGAAGAGAAATGGGCGTCTCCTTGAAGGACGACACCGGTAATTACTTCAAAGCCTTCTGCCATACACAGGTAGCCTGCGTAGCAGGCGCTTGGAAGTAGCGGGCGAAAGAGAGAACGGGCGCGCGCGAGGGAGACACGCAAGGGGTGAGGGAGCGCCTGCACGGAAGGCCCCCGAAAATCGTTTCAACTCGCACTCTGTGAGTGCGGATATTTCCAATTGGTCGAGAGGCTCCCGAGGGAAAAATTTACCGCGCGGGGCGAGAAAACTGTCAATCAATAGTACATGGACAACGTAGTGAAGATCTTGCATTACACCACTGGGTCCTGAAACCACTAAATCGAAGTTCAGGTCTCGGAGGTCACTTCAATCTGGTTTAATGGGACTATGTGGCTGTAATCTCAAAGAAAAGTTGGAGTGTTCAAACGGTATTCACCACATTCACGATGGAAAGAATTGACATCGGATACGCATCAACAGAAGTGGCGAGAGACAAAAGATTTGTCGAATCGTTGCAATGAAGATCAGAGGAAATATTCTTTGCTCAGGAGAACTTGGCGGCTTGTGCTGTCGATGGAACGTATACCATCAAAACTTGGACATGATTGATGAAATGAAACACTTACCAGGGGCATGAATTTGAAAAAAACATTTCACTATAGTATTATTCGCCGTTCGGAGGCGACCTGAGGTCTGTTGTTTATGTCTCATTACTGCAGTAGAAAACATGTCGGTACAGTTTGTGTTCTGAGGTTTAGGTCCGCTTAGTAAGACATGTCTGCTCCAAAAACGGCTGCCAGTTAGCGCAGTAAAAGCAATATGGTCATTTTCCACGTACGCTGTGATCGTTGGTGTCTGACCAGAACAATATTTTTAGTTTTTATAATACACAGCATGCATTCTTTAAAAGATACCCAGTTTTGACTTTGTTATTTCCTATTTATTGTGCCCATGTTAAAAAACGATTTAAAGCTGTGTGTTAACCATCAGTTTATTGCTCCATCGCTCTATAATCAGATAACCCAGCTGATCTTTATAACAGATATATTTAGACCGAAGATAAAATGTACAACGCTTTTTGGCGGCTTGCTTGTTTGTGCGAGGTCAGTCGTTTTCTCTCAAATTTTTTGACAGATCACGCAACGGCTGCCAAGTAATTAGAGAGGGGGCGGGAAACGATTTTCGGGGGCCTTCCGTGCAGGCGCTTCCTCTCCCCTCGCGTGTCTCCTCCTCGCGCGCCCGTTTTTTCTTTTGCACACTACTTCCAAGCGCCTGCTACACAGGCTATACACAGGCGGCCCAAACTCATTACATGAACGCGGACGTGACTCTTGCTTGCGAGCGCTGTTGTGTTACAAACGGTTATTTACAAAGGCTTGTATGGGATCGATCGGTTTTTCTTAACAAAACGGCCTGAGACGCGGGCAAACAACAAAGAATACAACAAGGCAATAAGGTAAGTCGATTTTATTTAAAAACATAACATTTTTTATCTCTTTTAAGAAAAACCGATCGATCCCATACAAGCCTTTGTAAATAACCGTTTGTAACACAACACCGCTCGCAAGCAAGAGTCACGTCCGCGTTAATGTATTGAGTTTGGGCCGCCTGTGTGCCATATGGCCATCAACTAATACTCGTCACTTTTAATAATTGTCTTACAAGACTGATTGTACTGACGATGGAAATGCCATAACGGTGAAGTATGCCAAACATAGACTCTCTGTTGATGGAGCAGTAAGAGGCCTTCAGAAAGCCAATAATGGTAACTTTTTTGCTTGGAAGCCTTCGATAACAGGCCTTAGAGTATGAATCTGTACTGTGCAGCTGCGCCCATGCCTTAAACAGGCTTGGTTGCGCCAAGCTGAAAAATTGCTTACATTTATCAAGCAGATCTTAATGACTGCTTGGGTCACTTCCGTACCTTTTTTTGATCTGTCTCTTTTTATCAGACAGGCTGTGAGTGATTCTCCACGCCTTACTGGTCTCTCCCTTTAATTTTCGTCTGCTGCTAGATACTTGGCCTGATTAGCCAGGTAAAATACATTTAGAATGGTCCTCAGATCCTTCAACCTCTTCCTGTGTGCGGCCCTGTTAAGGAGAGGGTGCTTGCTCTTGGCGTCATGTCGAGCTTTCCGCAGGTCTTCTGTTTCTTAGCCTGCGTAGCAGGCGCTTGGAAGTAGTGGGCACAAGAAAAAACGGGCGCGCGAGGAGGAGACACGCGAGGGGAGAGGAAGCGCCTGCACGGAAGGCCCCCGAAAATCGTTTCCCGCCCCCTCTCTAATTACTTGGCAGCCGTTGCGTGATCTGTCAAAAAATTTGAGAGAAAACGACTGACCTCGCACAAACAAGCAAGCCGCCAAAAAGCGTTGTACATTTTATCTTCGGTCTAAATATATCTGTTATAAAGATCAGCTGGGTTATCTGATTATAGAGCGATGGAGCAATAAACTGATGGTTAACACACAGCTTTAAATCGTTTTTTAACATGGGCACAATAAATAGGAACTGAAATAACAAAGTCAAAACTGGGTATCTTTTAAAGAATGCATGCTGTGTATTATAAAAACTAAAAATATTGTTCTGGTCAGACACCAACGATCACAGCGTACGTGGAAAATGACCATATTGCTTTTACTGCGCAAACTGGCAGCCGTTTTTGGAGCAGACATGTCTTACTAAGCGGACCTAAACCTCAGAACACAAACTGTACCGACATGCTTTCTACTGTAGTAATGAGACATAAACAACAGACCTCCTGGTAAGTGTTTCATTTCATCAATCATGTCCAAGTTTTGATGGTATACGTTCCATCGACAGCACAAGCCGCCAAGTTCTCCTGAGCAAAGAATATTTCCTCCGATCTTCATTGCAACGATCCGAGAAATCTTTTGTCTCTCGCCACTTCTGTTGATGCGTATCCGATGTTAATTCTCTCCATCGTGAATACCGTTTGAACACTCCAACTTTTCTTTGAGATTACTGCCACATAGTCCCATTAAACCAGATTGAAGTGACCTCCGAGACCTGAACTTCGATTTAGTGGTTTCAGGACCCAGTGGTGTAATGCAAGATCTTCACTACGTTGTCCATGTACTATTGATTGACAGTTTTCTCGCCCCGCGCGGTAAATTTTTCCCTCGGGAGCCTCTCGACCAATTGGAAATATCCGCACTCACAGAGTGCGAGTTGAAACGATTTTCGGGGGCCTTCCGTGCAGGCGCTCCCTCACCCCTTGCGTGTCTCCCTCGCGCGCGCCCGTTCTCTCTTTCGCCCGCTACTTCCAAGCGCCTGCTACGCAGGCTATCTGTTTCTTTGGAGACCCAGTTTGCTAAGCCATTTGAGACACTTTCCAACCGCCTCTTCCACGATGCTACTTGTTATACTTTCCAACTGACTGTACCTGATATTGAGTGCCTCATCAGTGGGAGGGAGGCGGAGTGATTCCAAAGTCTTAGCTGAAATTCTGTTTTCAGTACAGGAAGCGCCAGTCTCTTCAAACTATATTTTTTGCAATTTACAGGTTTGCCTTTAAGTTAAAGGCAAACCTGTAAATAAGTAGCATAGTGGAAGAGGCTAAGACCCACTTTAAGAGTGGCACGTAGGATGCGGTGGTCGGAGTCAGTTAACTCTACACTTTGTAATCTCCTGTGACAGTTTCTTAGTGAGTTAGGCCACCTACCACTGATGACCAGGATATGGTCAACTTTGACACGAGAGCCCAACGGGTGGTTGCAAGGCAAAAGTTAAGACTTCTCCCTCCGTTGTTGTTTGTGGTGTCGTATAGAAGGTGGGGACTCGCTACTCTTACATAAGCAACTTTCATCATCCAGATTCACAGAACTAAAGATCAGTGCAACTCCGTGACAATCCCACCCGAAATTGTACCGCACATCTTACCAGATTGGGTGGCTCTAACTCTAGAGTGTTATTTTTTTTATCTTTGACATAAAAACATACTGAAATACAATGAAAACAAACTAGACATAATATGATACAGATGTCATACCTTTGTGCCTCTGTAGTTCCATTCACGTCTTGGTTTGAGATCTTCCGGATGCTGCAAGTGATCTGAGTTACTGAGCTCACAGGCCATTTTGTTGTCAATGGGGGGACCAATATTATAGGAGACACACTCCCTGGCTAGCGTGCATTGATCTTGGCAGTCTTGGTTGAGTTCCACGGAGAGATTTAAAAACACGTGCCCCCCAAGGTAAAATCCGTTATCTGGTGTCAGAAATGTGACGTGTCGGTTGTTACGAGCGCATTGACCTTAGAGAGAAATTCAAAAATTTAATCAGTTAAATGTTTAGTGGTAGTTGAATGTTTGATAGTGAAATTAGCCTGAATAGGAGGTCTTTGAAGGCAAAGAGAAAAGAGAAATTAGGGCACACGATAGTGCTCACATCTCTTCAAGTCGTCCCCACGAACTGAACGCCTGGAACAGCTAGACAGACGAGTGCACAAAGGGTTTTGAGTAAGTAGGCTGGGAAACGCTGCTTTTGGCCAAATGTTTCATCTGCTGCGGTTACGATCTTGTCAAGGTGCTATTTGAGGATGGCCTATATTTCAATTAGTATAGGTAATAACATGATTTGTAGTGATAATAGCATGATTTGTAGTGATATTTGGCATAAATACCACGAGTGATATTTCGAAATTGTTGTACGTAATTTGAGACAATTTTGAAATATCCCGAGTGGTATTTATGCCAAATATCACGTACAAATCATGCTATTATTTGTTTATACTACTACCCACAAAAGGTTTATAATTTTCACATGTAGGTATTTCAAATTAACCTAAAATACAGCCAGTCAGATTGCAGAAATTTCTCCAACCGCTGAAACCGGGCTTCTTGCGCTAAGTATTTGAGAAAAAAACGGGTCAGAATAATAGAGTCCTTTCTCTTCTTTCTAGCGCGTTTCAGTCACTCTTTTCCACGTCTTCATTTTGCAACGAAGAGCGCTATATTGATAAACAGTTACTGCATGGGCGAGCTAAGTTGAAATTTCTCAAACAAACTCGCCACAATTATCAGAAACCGGAAACCATCAAATGGTAGTCACTGAGTTGTAAAATGAGCGTACTGATTACTAAGGGACCGGTCATTATTTATCGCCGGGGGAGGGAGGCGGAGGATTTGGGGCTAAACAAGGTGAAATTAGCCGGTCCCCCCTTTTAATGTTACTCCACTGAAATGTAACTTAACTGAAGGGATTCCCCCTAATAACATTTGATGACTTTCGCGATCCCTCGCCATGTCTTCATTTTCCAAGCAAATTTTAGTGGTCCCTCCCTCTGAATCCTTCAGTTTTCAGCGATCTCCCCTTTTGGGTTCTCAGTTACGACTGATCCCCTCTTTTGTTCTCCTAAAAGTCAAGTGATCCCCCAAAACTTAACCCCCCACTTAGGCGATAAAAATTGACTTCTGCCTCGCTATCCCTATTTGAGCCTCGCACAAAAAGCCTAAAGTTTTGCGTGATGCCGAATTTATGATTAGAATGCTAACTTTCCTTTTTCTCTACTGTGCTGAGGAAATACGCACTTTTTTTTAAACACCAGTAATTAGTGCTATTGAGGTTGGAGACTCCGTCTTGTTAATAAGCTACCCCTTTGAAAGTAAATCGTTAATGAAAAAAGTTGTAAATGGTCAGAAAGCCATAGAAAAAAAACACTATGCATCTACAGAATAGAGCACACTGGTGCAGCTTTTGCAACTTAAAAGCCCCATAAAACAAATCAACTGCAGCGCAAAAAGGTAGAAATATTTACACATAACAATGGCCCAATATTAACACTGTATTGTTTGTATGTTTTCTCCCTCAAGACGCAGCTTAAATAGAGATATACGGGATTCCTTCGCCAAATTGTTTTATTGTGTCTTCAACAAGATTTTAACTTCGTTAAACCAGATTACTTTTCCGTAAGCCAAATTCCTCAATGCGTTTGTTAAAAATAGGACGTTAATTACATTTAGACAATTTTAGCACTGGTTGATGCAAAGTGAGATTTTTCCATATTGTGGGTTCGCCTTTTTTCGAGCAGTGATATGTAAGAACCTCTTCGAGATTCGAGGACAATGACTGGCCGGTAAAAACGTTGCTTAAAATATGAATGCACGATCTTCACCTACTTTGTCAAATGTGGGCCAACTCTCCGGGAGGTGTTTCACTGTGAACCTATATCCAACTTCAGGAAAAGGCAAAATAACATTTCTGATCTTCCTAGCTTGTTAACGTCCTCCATAAAACGTGAAATTATAGGCATTTTTACGTTCTAGCCATGTAGGACGGCAAAAAAAGTGTACATAAAAAAGTGATGTGCAGGCAAGTTTGTCGTTTTGCTTATTAAACCTATATCTTTTCTGACCGCATTACTCGTTGCCGTCGCCGTGCTCGGATCTCAGGATACGCATTGATATTTTCCTTTGCTGACGTCGTGTCTATTTTTACATAGGAGTCGGCCGAGGAAAAATATCTACAATTGGTGGTTTTAAAATTACATGAAATTAACCAGAACTCTTGAGAGACAAGTGATTACAAGTGAAAGGAAAAATCCTCAGTTGCAGTGTAAATTAGGAAAACTAGTTAAAAGCTTCTAAGGCACTTTATTAAGAGTCATCAAAAATGAAAATGTTGATTAGAACACACATAATTTATATCCTCGATCCCAGAAGTATAAAGCTTTAATTGTACTTTCCCTGACTAAAGGGGAGCTGCATCTTTTACCTCCGGCATCGTGATTTGAAAAGTGTATTTATAACTCTTATTAGCCAGCTACGTTAAGTCAGCCTAAAGTTTTCCGTGATGCCGAATTTATAATCAGAATTAAAGCTAACTTTCCTTTTTCCCTACTGCGCTGGGGATCAAATATGCACCTTTTTCTCAACACCAGTAATTAGTGCTCTTGAGATTGGAAAAACCGGTCTTTTATAAAATTAAGCCACCCTTTTGAAAGTAAGTTGTTAATGAAGAGAAATGGTAAAAGATCAGAAAGGCATAGAAAAAAATAAATATTCACCAACAGAATAGAGAACACTGGTGCAGTTTTTGCAGCTGAAAAGCCCCATAAAAAATCATCTGCAGCACAAAAAGGTAGAAATATTGACACATAAGAATGACTCGATATAAACAATGACTGATATGTAAATCTTTTGTATACTGGAACTTGGTGGTAACGTTCCATTGTATTCTTTGTTTTCTCCCTCAAGACGCAGCTTAAATAGAGATATACGGGATTCCTTCCGCAATTTGTTTTATTGTGTCTTCATCAACATTTTAGCTTTATTAAACCAGATTACTTTTCCGTAAGCCAAACGTAATTAACAAAAGCGTTTGTTAAAAATTGGACGTTAATTAGATTTAGAGCATTTCAGCACTGGATGATGCAAAGTGAGATTTTTTCGTATTGTTGGTTCGCTTTTTTTTCGAGCAATGATATGTAGGAACCTCTTCAAAGATTTGAGGACCGTGACTGGCAGGTAAAAACGTACGAAGCCGCATAAAAAAATCGCCTGCAGCACAATATAAACACAGGCGGCCCAGACGTAGTATGTGTCACTGAATGAATATATTAATATCCACATGGACAAATTAGTGCGATGAGTCGTCGAAACTCCCATGAACTAAAATAGTCTAAAAGTCAAAATATAACAAAACAAAGCTAAGATACCTTCAACTGAACGTATCCTTGTCTTTCCTGGCCGGTTTAAGTGGCATTTTGTCGAGTTTTGCAATTGTAGGTACTATCCACTAAAGAAGAATTAAAGGCTGGCTACAAAACAAACAGACCATCTCCACGCGCCTCCACACGAAGCGCTATAAATTCGAGAATAATCGACGAATCCGCTCCAAATAACCATCGGCTAATCTGCAGGTAACGTGTGCTCCTGCTTCTGGCTCGCTTGCTCCACAAAACCCATCGCAACTGCACAATAATTGCTCGCTCATCAACAACCACTGTTGACCTTTGCGCTTCGATATGACCGCAAACGACCAGGTTTAATACGCGACGTGAATATTCAAGCTTAGCGACTGCGTTCGCGCAACAATGCAGCACTTGCTATGGGAGGGATGGTACTATTGCTTCTAGGTCAATCGACTGACCGAAGGTTCGCTGCGTTAGTTTTGACCAGAAAACAAAAGGCGATCGCGGGACCGTCCGTGCGTTTTCAACAGGGCAGCCCTGGTTTTCAAGTTCGAATTCTGCTAACGTTTGCTGTCTCAGCTGCTGTCACATTGTTCGTCCAGCCGCTTGCATAGGTTCTTGACTCTACCAGACTTATTTGCTTAGATTAACAACGTCTTACTCCATAATATGTTGTCCAAACTGGTGAAGGAGGACGAGAAAAAGGCAAAATCTGGCCCCCGCTATGCAGCTGAAGATACAGCTGAAGATATCGTAAAGTAAAATTTATGTGCGCGATATCTTTTATTATTATTATTATTATTATTATTCTTAAAACTCAGGGGCACCCAACGATGATCTCCCCCCTAAATGCATTGAAAACACATTTAAGGCTGTCCAGAGTACCTTTGATCGAAAAATGCATTCTAAACAGCGCTTACATAAATTTAGTCAGGAGGGCTAAAAGCGAAGCTAATGATTTATAGTTTGCTTATACTAAATACAAAATATATCGTGTAATGCTAAGCGGAGAAGGCAACGAGACAGGGCCACCCAACGACAGTTTCCTCAAATACTTTCAATTGAAAACACTTTTGTGGCGATTCATAAAGTACTTTTAGCTCTATAGAAATGCATTCTAAGTGGCGCTATAAAATTTGCATCTCAGTGTTCGGCCATTCTAGAGGAACTTGAGTCTTTTCGAAATTACGAGGAATTCAGAATTATTTTCCCGAAAATTTTAGATGCAATTTAACGTATTACGACGGAGATAATTTTTCAGATACCTTCTTTCATCACATTTTTGAATCCGAAAATTTTAGGATTCCATTTTACTCTCGACGAAAAATATAGCCTTACCCGGTGAGTGAAATGTGAAAAATTAAAACTTGGATGCCCTTGACCAGAACTGTGAAAAACAACAATGGGTCTAATTGCAGCACACTTTCTTGTACATTTCCTTGCCGTTGATTTGCATGACTGCAGCGTGAAACGTCCAGAAAACTTCCTGGTTTTCACTTTTTATGGAGAAAATGTGGTACATGTTCTTGTTCACTTTTTCCTCTGCCGCTCATTTTTTTTTAGCTCCGCTATAAGATTCGTATTTGTTCGGTGCTCCTAGGGCAAACTGGATCTTTTTAAAAATT